GAACATTTTGGATAGGAAGACTCAATATTATGAAAATGACAGTCCTACCAAAAGCATCTACATGTTCAACGCAATCTCAATTTGGATACCAAATTCATTTCTCAAGAAGATTGAAAGGGAAATTGTCAAGTGTATTTGGAGAGGAAAAAGACCCCAAATAACCAAAGCATTTCTGAAAAACAAAAATGAAGTGGGAAGCATAGGACTCTCTGACCACAAAACCTATTTCACAGCAGTAGTAACCAAACCAACATGGTACTGGTAGAATGATAGGAACATAGACCAATGGAACAGAATTGAGAACCCCAAAATGGACCCAGCTATCTATGGTCAACTGATACTAAACAAGAAAACGAAACCTATCAAATGGGGAAATGACAATCTCTTCAACAAATGGTGCTGGCAAAACTGGACTGCTAACTGCATAAGGCTGAAACGGGATACACAACTCACACCATACACAAAAACCAACTCAAGGCAAGTGAGAGATCTGGAAATAAAACCCCAAACCATAAAGTTCATAAGAGACAAACTGTGAAGAAGCTTAGAAGGCCTAGTCTACACTATAAGGGGACAGCCAAAGACAGCCAGAAATTGACAATCTAACGAGGATAAAACTGATGAGTGAAACCTTCTAAAGATTAAATCTCTGATCATTAATAAAAAAATTAATTTAAAAAATACCCATTATTGTAGAATGAGTATAAGGATCCAAGAGGGATGGGAGAGGCTGGAAGCAGAGGGCTGTAGATGTGGAGGGGGAGGGGGGATTAATCATCGGGTTGCACAATTTGATGGGCTGGGGGGTGAGGGAAATTGAAAGAATTTCTTCTAACTTGTATTCTAACTTTTTTAAATAAAAATGTTTAGTAGAAAATAAAAGAACAAATGTGTATATTAAAAAACAAACAAAAGAAACAAAAAAGTTTTTCCAACAGGATGAAAAGAAAACCTACTGACTGGAAACAAACATTGGACAATACCATCTAGACAAGGGTCTCATAATGAAAGTTTACATGATCCTACAGGGCCTCCAGAAGAAAAAGACTGATATTCCAATTTTAAAATGGGCAAATGACACGGGAAGACTTCTCACAGAGGAGGACATTAGGATGGCCAACAGACACAGAAAGAAATGCTTTTAATCACTGGTAATAAGAGAGATGCAAATCAAAACCACAATAAGATACCATCTTATCCTAGTAACAGTAGCAAAGTTTGGCAGGGAAGCAAATAATAAATGTTGGAGAGGATGTGACAGGATAAGAACCCTTATAGATTATTGGCGGGATTGTAAAATGGTACAACCACTCTGGAAGGCAATTTGACATTTCCTCAAAAAGCTGAACATAGAAATTCCATATGATCCAGCTATTCCACTGCTTGGAATATACCCTGAGAAAATGAGAACTGAGGCACAAATGGAGATTTGTAAATCAACGTTAACAGCAGCGTTATTCACCATAGCAAGAACAGGGACACAGCCCAAATACCCAATCACAAGTGAATTGATTGAGAAATTATGGTACATTCATACAATGGAATACTATGCAGCACGCAGGAGCAATGATTTTGTAAATTACCACCTAACATGGGAGGGACTGGAGAGCATTATGCTAAGTGAACTAATTCAGTCTCATAAAGATAAATACTGTATAAAACCATTATTGTAGAATGACTACCAGAATCCAAGGGGGGGAGCTTAATCATATGGTCACACAATTTGACGGGTGAAGGGAGGGGTGGGTAAAGGAAAGGGGAAAGATCCAATATGAAAAACCAATGTATATGAACTTTATGAACTTTGTAAGTAAACCAGTATAAAATTTTAGAAAAAGGAAAGAAAACAACTATGAGATCTCATCTCACCCCAGTAAGAACAGCAAAATTTAACAGAGCAGCAAACATCAAATGCTGGAGAGGTTGTGGAGAAACTGGAACCCTCATTCACTGTTGGTGGGAGTGTAAAATGGTGCAACCACTATGGAAGGCTGTATGACACTTTCTCAAAAAATTTGCAAATAGAAATACCTTTCGACCCAGCAATTCCACTACTGGGAATTTACCCTAAAGAAACCAAAACTGCCACCCAAGCAGATATATGCACACCCATGTTTATTGTGACTTTGTTCACATTAGCAAAGAGTTGGAAACAACCCAAGTGCTCATCATCAAGCAAATGGATAAAGAAGCTCTGGTATATTCACACAATAAAATACTATGCAGCATTGAAAAACAAGGAACTCATTAAATATTATGCAAAATGAGTAACCCTGGAGGACATTCTGCTGAGTGAAATATCTCAGTCACAAAAGGACGAATATTGCATAGGGTCATTGTTGTAAAAAGGGACTGACATCGGCTTTCAGGGAAGACAGAGAAGGAGGGGAGGAATGATGTATACTGTATTGAAACAGATGATGAAGAAATATGTTTAAAAGAGATATATGATTGGGTGTTATTGTCATGACAGGAGTCCAGAATGAAGGCTGCATGGTGGAGTGGACTTGGGAGAAGGGATTGCATAACAATGAAAGAGTTTTTTACTTTTCAAGCAGAAGGGTGAATTAGGGGGTGGCGGTGGTCAGTTAGAAATGTGCAACAATGAATGACTGGAACCCCTAAGTCTCTGTAAACTTTCATTAAAATTAATAAAATGAAGATTGAAAACACCAAAAAGAAAAAAAAAGAAAAGTGAAAAGTCCGGTGTGAAAAACAGTGTATGTGAACTTTTTATGCAATCTGGTATAAAATATTTTTTAAAAAGAAAACTATTAAAAAATAAATTGCAAAAACAAAAACCAACAAATAGAACAAGGGTACATAGTACAGTTTCATAACAGCCTTTCCCCCCATATCCTTGACAAAGTCATGCTTATTCTCATTTTAAGGCATTAGTGATCCCTAACATGGAATTCTTCATTTAAAACTTTTCTCATCATTATATAAGCTTCAACTGAAAGTTAAATAGCAGTCTTTCTTGAAAATCTTTACAAAGTAATGCTACTAGTTTTTTATAGTATCACCATGTTTCAATTATTTCATGGCATGTAAAAACATTTATGTTACGCAATTACTGCCAGTTTCTCCTGAAATCAAGAATCTTGTCTGTCCTGTTAACCTCTCTATCCCAGTTTCAGCATATACAATGTGTGGAATAAGTGTTTTGATACTGTCCAAAAATCATAGATCAGGAATTTATCTGAAGAAATAGGTATGATGACTGAGGAGATGCGACCAGGTAGAATTCTGTTTCATATGACTTTTGACTAGCTATGTCGTCTGATCTCTTAGCTGCATCTTTTTTTAGAAAACCAAAAGCAAAGGATATTTGTCAAGTGGGAAGAAGTGAGGAACAAATGAAAATTGCAAGTTATAATACTAAAGAATTATAAATTGGAAAATATTGAATGATGGAGAAAGCATCGAGGGAATACATAGTCACTGTACTAAAAAGAATTAGTGGACACTGAACCATTTCAGAAAGTAGTATAAGATCAATAACAGATGGTAATGAAGAAGTAAGTACAAGTTTCACTGAAGACATTGGCAAAAATAAGGCCCTGAGGGCCTGGGAATGAATGAAATAAAAATGGATAGTTTTTGACTAACAGATTCAGCTCACTAGTCATTGCCAAGAAATTTGGAAAAGAGCTACCTGATCAAAGACTAGAAGAGATTCATATTTGCTCCCTTTCAAAAAAATGGTGATGCAGCAGAATATAGAAATGATCTAACAACATCATTGGTATGTCACAGAAGTAAAATTTTGCTGAAAATTATTCATTCTAAGGTGGTGTAGTACATTGAGTCAGAATCGAGCTCAAAGTGGGTCAAAATGCTAAAGAGCAATGATGCCACTCTAAAGATTAAGGCATGCCTGATCCAGGCCATGGTCTTCACAATACTCGCTAAGCACCAGAGTGCTGGACTAAGGATTAGAAAACCTATTGGTACTCTGCTTTCAGCCAAGATCCATCTGACATTGGCAATAATGTCTCGAATGCCATGGCCTCTTCTAAACCCAGCTTGTTTTTCTAGCAGTTCTCGGTCTACACTACATTATATAATACATTGGTATTATGCCAGTCATTTTAGATAATCTTCAAAAAGATTTTGCTTGTGTGTGACATTAGTGATACTGTTTGATAATTTCCATACTCTGTTGGGTCAGCTTTTGGGGGGATAAGAATAAATATGGATATCTTCCAGTCAGTTGGCCAGGTAGTTGTCCTCCAGATTTCTTGGCACAACCTGGTCAGCATGTCCAGGACAGCATCTCTTTGTCGAAATATGTCAACTGGTATTATATCAACTACTAGGGTCTTGTTTTTTGTTAAGTTTTTCAGAGTACCTTGAACTTCTTCCTTCATCACTATTGCCTGTTGATCACATGTTGTTTCATGACATTCTTCTGTGTCAGCCTTTTTGGTACAATGACTGTCTGTTCCTTCCATCATTTTTTAATGCCTCCTGGATCATTCATAATTCTGCCCATTAATACTGTTTACTAAACTATACGGAGATTTAGAAAGTATCTTAGGCTATATAGATAATAAGTGGCAGCTAGGATAATAAATGATGAATATTTATCCAGGATTCCAAGATATGTAAGATGTTCAGTGCTAAATCAGAGAAAACCCTTGGCAAACCAGAAATGTTGGGTTATCCTAGCTGCAGTGACAAATTTCAAACACTGACAGTGTAGTTATAGAGGTTGAACTCTTAAGCTCGAACTCCTACGGGAAGGCCAACACTTGTGCTTCCACAACAAGTTTGTGGGTAAAGAGCACTTGAGAGAAAGACACATGGGCGGTGGCACCCATAAGGCTAAGGTGACCGCATGCGCAGCTGGAGTAGTGGAGCCTAAGGCCTTCATGCAAGGGAATGTGCGCACATAAGAAAACCATAATGTGAGACAACTCACCATCCACACTATACCTAAGGTGACACTTCCTAGGGGTGTGCTAATGAAATTTTGTTCTCTGTTCATAATTCAGGGACATTTGAAATTTACTGCCAAGCAAGTAATCACTGGGAAGCAGGAATGAGTGCAATCTATAATGTCTCTCAGTGTCCTGGCCGCCAAGCTACTCTTCGTCAACAGTATCAGGCTGCAAGAATCTATTACATCATGGCAGAAGAAATGCAGTGGGACTATTGCCCTGACAGGAACTGGGAACTGGAATATAGCAACCAGTCTGAGAAGGAGAGGTAAGGTTTCAGAAAAGGAGCAATCACACTCATAGAGAATCTGGACTATTTTTCAGATGAAAAGCTGTTGAGTCATAATCAACACATAGCTGACCCTCTTCCAAATGGATTACTCCACCAGAGCTTCCTACTTTACATAGACGATGCTGAAACTAAGATGAAGTAGAATCTCAGACTCTAAACCTCTACTGATATATATATATATATATGATCTGAAATGAAATAATAGGTAATAGAATAACAATGAATTAGATAGTTAAGAAGAAAGAATAGTAAACCTGGAGAAACAGTAATTCAGACTACTCAAAATGAAACACAGGCAGTAAAAGATGGGGTGGGAGTGGGGCAGGCATGAACAGAATGTCAGTAAACTGCGGATCAGCGTGAAGTGAATTACCATATATGTAAATAAAGTAAAAAGGAGAGAAGGGAACAGAAAAATATTCAAAGGTACAGAATGCTATTTAAAAGAGAATTTTCAAATTTAATAAAAACTACAAATTCTTACCCAAGAATTACAATGATACCAGGCAATCTGATCATAATAAAATCAGAAATCAGTAATAGAAAGATTTGAAAATAGGCAAAAGTTTGGAAATTAAACAATATACTTTTAGATAAGTCATGGGCTAGAGAAAACTCATAAGGAAATTAGAAAAATATATTTGAAGTGAGTTAAAGGAAAAAATATAAAAATTCAAGGGATGCAACTGAAGAAATGCTTGGAGGGAAAATAGTAATGAACACATATTAGAAAAGAGAAAGGCTATAAAATGAAGAGGTCAAAGTTCCAACCTGAAAAGTCAGAAGAGATTAAGCCCCAAATAAACAGAATAATGGAGATAATAATATTAATAATAAATAAACAGAACAGAAATCATTGAAATAGCAAACAGAAAAGCAATAGAAAAAAACCACAGGAACCAAAATTAGGACTTTGAGATCAAGAAAACTTAAACATCTCCCTATGAACTTATATATATAATTTATAAAATATTGAGCACCACAACAAGATAAAGGTAAA